CAAGGCCACATCTGGTCCCCCATTCCCTGGGATTTGGGGACTGGACCCAAGGCAGGCCCAGGATTGCTGTCTGGGCCCCTGAGCTCTGTCCCCACCTCCCACCTTCGCCTCAGGGCAGAGCCTCACTGAGGGAAGCTTCTCTGGCATCTCCCGAAACACTGGCACCGGAGCCCGATCTGGGGCAAAGCCTCCCACACCCACAGACCACCTCAGAGCTCGCCGTGCTGCCCACCCCCTCGGTGCCACTTACACATGACCAGTCTCGTGGGCCACCACGAAGGCGGAAGAGAAGCCGTCCTCATGGTTAAGGGCACAGCTTCTCAGGGGGTGGCACATGCCAGTGACAGGTGCATACCCTGTGGGGAGGGCAAGAGGGCCGAGAGAAGTGATGCACAGTGAGATAAGACACGCCAAGCGGGGCCCAGCAGTCCCACTGGGCCATCCTGCCCTGGCCACTGCGGGCGGGTCCCTGGAGTAAGAAGCATCCTTGTGAAGTCCCACCTGCAGCAGAGCAACCTGGACCCAGCTGCCCCACATCCAAGGCTTACGGCTTCTCTCTTGGCCTGCGCCCTCCCTGTACCTGTCAGCCATCCTCTAACCAGGCAGTGCGGCACCGAGGTTTTGTGATTATTTGTTACTCAGCATTACGGTGACCACACCTAACGGATACAGGGATGCGGGCTTGGGAATCAGCCAGTCCTGAGTCCCAATGTCAGTTGTGCCACGCTCCCCAGGTGAGCAAACCACGTCACTTCTCTGGGCCCCAGTGGCCTTATCTGTAAAATGGGGTGGTCACAGCTCCTCTCTCCTGGAGTTTTCGTGACGGTTAAGATCATGCCTACAAAGTGCTCAGCACAGTTTCTGGCGCTGTGGTGGTTATCATTAACAACACTGCTCGGAGCCTACTGCTCCAACACTGACGTGCAGGCACGGCTCGGACTTGACTCTCCTGCTCAAGCATCTGCTGTAGCTCCCTAGTTCCAAGTTCTCCAGTGCGACCTCAAGGCCCCTCTCCCCCTCCTCCCGTGTTGTGCTCACGGGCCACTCACCCTCCCTCCCTAACCAAAGGGCCTGGACGAGCGCACATGTTGGACCCAGAGCCCCAGCCCTGCACAGCTGGGCGCTCCCCTCCGCGCCAGGCCACCTCTTCGAGCAGCTCAGCTCGACTTTCAACAACCTGGGCCACATAGCGGTCAATGGCCCAGGTTCTAGAACAGTGATGGCGAACCTATGACACACGTGTCAGAGGTGACACGCGAAGTCATTTTTTTGGTTGATTTTTCTCTGTTAAATGGCATTTAAATATAAAATAAATATCAAAAATATAAATCTTTGTTTTGCTGTGGTTGCAAATATCAAAAAATTTCTATATGTGACATGGTACCAGAGTTAAGTTAGGGTTTTTCAAAATGCTGCCACGCCGAGCTCAAAAGGTTCACCATCACTGGTCTAGGCATATGTGTGTGTCTGTGTACATGTGTCTATATGTGTAGTGTATGTCTGTGTCAATGTGTCTGTACGTGTGTTTATGTGTATGCATAAGTTTCTGTCTGTGTATACATGTATCTGTGCACATGTATCTGTGTTGTTTGTGTGTAGGCCTGTATATGTGTGTCCGTGTGTCTGTGTGTTTATACGTGTGTGCATGTGTATCTGTATGTGTATGAAAGCCCACATTTGGGGCTTCAGGGATTCAGACAAGGAGCCCTTTGGGCAGAGGCATGGCTGGCTGACTCACTTCTAGCATCAAACTGGGAAAAACTAGGAAGCCCTCAACTCGGAGCCTAGACATCGAGGCTGAGTCTCAGATCTGCCTCCTCTGTAAAGTAAGGACACAGGCAGCCTCTTCACAACCTGGTGCCCCAGGTTCCCCACATGGGAACTGGGGTAGTCAAAGCTCCATGTGTTCGCAGAGCGCTTATAGTCACACTCCGTACACACATTTCATGTGCCCTCGGCCCTCTCAGCAGCCCTGGAACAGAGGGAGGCAAACACTATTATTTTTCCCATTCGGCCGCGGGGAGGACCCAGGGAGATGAAGTGAGCTTGGATGGCTGGGTAGAGAGGTGTGCAGCTGCGGGCAGAGCATGCACTTCCTTTCCAAGTTCCACACGAGCCCCACTAGGTGCCCACGACCTGGATGAGGATGGAGAATGCAGTGTGGGCAGACCATGGCAAGCACAGAGCCACCTGCCGGCTCAACCAGGACAGCAGGGGCCAGGGTGGGGGCCCCTTCACTTCCTTTGATCCTCAAGAAATCACTGCCACGCTTGCCCACCTGTCCATCCAGGTCCTGTCTCTCAGGTCCCACGGACCTCTTCGCTGATGGGGAACCTGGCCCCTGACCTCCGAGGGCGGCCCCGGAGCAAGCGCAGCCCGGAGCCCCAGCCTCTGGCCTGCACTGCACACACCTGGCCCAGGCGAGCACAGTACCTTGCATACCTGAGGGCCCGAAGTCCTGCCGGGTGAGGAAGATGACGTGGTCGTGGTGCTCTGCGTGGCCGGGGTCCTGGCGCTGCTGGGAGTGGGCCCAGCGACACACCTGCTCCAGGCTGCGGGAGGGGTTCCCACGCTCAATCAGGCTCAGGGACTGCGGGCCGGAGAGTACCAACAGCAGAGCGGTGGGTCGGAGCCCCCGGACCGCGGTGAGTACCCGACACTCCCCTCCCCTGGCAGAGGGGACCCTGAGGCCCACGGGACTGCAGTGCCTGTCCCAAGGTCACTAGCTGCCCCAAGGTCACTGACTATGGCTGCTGCTGGCATTCCCTCCTACTTCAGGGAATGTGCATGTACCAAGCCCTGCACGGGGACACCTGTCTGCTAAGAACTGGTCACACATGACCTCTAATCCCTCAGCCAACCCGCAGGCAGGTGGGTTCGGGCGTTTCCTCTAATATATTCGCTGTTATTTAATCTTCACAGAAGCCCCTGGAGGAAAATGTGTTGCTACCACCATTTAGGGGAGAATAAGGTCTGTGATGGCAAAGCCCGGGGCCCGCGACCCAACCACAGCAGGACCTGCTTGGTCACTGCCCCTCTCCCAGCCCCGCTTTCCCCATCACCCCTCAAGGGGAGGGACCTTCAGCTGTGAGGATGAAGGACTGTCCGTGTAACATATTGGAGGGAACCTGGAGTCCCTGCTCACCATCCCCAATGCCTGTGCCACTGAAGCCTCAATTTTAATGGTCTCAGGGCTCTGATTCTGGAGACAAAATGTTCCCTAGATACTGTCCCCCTCCTGACATTGTAGCTGGGATGATGCAATGGCCCCACACCCCTTCTCTCTCCAAAGCCTGCCTGCTGACAAGGGGGCTTACTTGTCGGTAGCCAACCATGATCAAGCGGACGAGGGCAATGTTGATGTGTGTCCCGAGGGACTCGTCATGGTAAATTTCATTCACCTGCAAGGAGAGAAGAGCGTGCAGTTTTAGGGGACACAAAGAGTCATTAAGGGCCTACAGTGGGGCCTTGACTTACAAGTTTAATTCTTTCCGTGACGGAGCTTGTAACTCAAATTGAACGCTACATCAGTCCAGCATCACGTGTCTCACTCGTTCACTTTTTGATTTGACATACATACAAGTAATTTGAGTTATGAGCTCTGTCACGGAATTCGGGACACTCGTAAGTTAAGGCCCCACTGTACTATGAAACAGGCACTGGGCCAGATACCTGACACACCTTATCCCATTTCCTCCTCACCATGGCCTCTGGAGCAGGCGTTCTTATCCCTACTTTACAGATGAAGAAACTGAGGCAGAGAGAGGCAAAATGACCTGCCCAAGGCCAGGCAGCAAAGGAGCTGCAGAGCTGGGATTAAAATTCTAATTCCAACTAGGAGCTCTCTCCTCGGAGCCAAAGTGTGAGGGGCCTGGTCCCAGCCACCCTGATGAAGGCTCTCATCTTTCCGCATCTCTGAAGAGCCCTTCTGGAATGTCATCTGGGTCAGGTCGCTCATTCTCACATCCTGTGCACCTTTCCAAGCCACTAGAAGCACTCGTCTGCCCTGTGGTGCCTGGGAGCTCCTCCAGGCCAAACCCAGGGGGAGGCACAGTAGGACTCTGGACCAGCAGCAGCATCACATGGGAGTTCATTAGAAATGCAGAGTCTCAGGCCAACTCCCAAGTCAAAGTCTGCATTTGGACTCTGGCTCCCCCGTGCTCCTCAGGGATGGTCAAGTTTGAGGAGCACTGCATTGGATAGCTCCCTTGTCCCTTAGCCCAGGGACCTACGGGGCAATGCCTGCGCAGTTGATCAAAAATCGCAGTCCTCTCCACTCCCCTGTTCTCACCACTTCTGTGTCTCCATGCCCTTCAGCTCATGAGCAAAGTCACCGGCCTACAACCCACAAAGGAACTGCTGTCCACCAAATGGAGAGGCGCATCGAGGCCAACCTTACATGTGAGAGTCCCTCGGGGACGGGAGAGCCGGGAGGGGGACTGGAGGCCTGCTCCTGTGCTGACACACCCCTCCTGGGACAGCCAAGTACAGAGCCAGGCTGTGGGTGCAGGGCTGCAGCAGCAGAAGCGGCAGGCATCACAGAGCCCCCGCCCACTCTCTCAGTGCCCAGAACTGGCAGCTGCCCCAACTCAGGAGCATGCAGACTTAAGAGCTGTGAGCATGAGGCTTCCACCAGGGTCTGCCTGGCATCCATGTCTGGACCCAACTGAGATTAAAGACTGCTACCCACTGTGGGACAGCAGATCCCCCCTCCCCCCAAATCCCCGCCACAGGGAATGATGGGAAGTCCAATGGGTGGCGGTGCTTCCTTCCACCCTCCTCTCCTCCCCAGCATTGTGGAAGCAGAGTGTTCAAATGCATAAAGAGATGGTGTCCTCTCAACCCACATGCTCCTGACTCACCCTAGAACCGAGGGTAGAAAATGTGAGATCCAATCAGCCACACACACACTTTCTCCCTAACAGAATTCCAACCTAATGATTCTTCGCTGAACTGCAGAAATGATCATTGATCTGCGACAGAATGACTTGTAAACAACTTCAACATCCCAGCCCCTCCAACACTGGGACATGGTCTTCCTTCTACAAGGGGGTGGGGTCAGTGTCTCAGACCTGCCTGACATGCAGTGGTTCTCAACCTTCCTAATGCCACGACCCTTTAATACAGTTCCTCATGTTGTGGTGACCCCCAACCATAAAATTATTTTCGTTGCTACTTCATAACTGTAATTTTGCTACTGTTATGAATCGTAATGTAAATATCTGATATGCAGGATGCATTTTCAGGGGTCGCGACCCACAGGTTGAGAACCGCTGCTAGAGGCATGAAGACCAAGGTGGGGTCATGGGCAACAACACTCTGTGCAGCCACATCTGTGCCCCACACAGACACATGTAAAGCCACCATCACCCAGGGGAGGGGGGAGAGTGGTCACTGGGATACGCTGGGGGAGGGGTACATCTGCAGGGCCTCTGGCATTTGGAAGTACCCAACACCATTTCCTTCCCGCCTTCATCTCTCTCCAAAATGGAGTGGGCAAACCACTGCCAGAATGTTGCCGTGTTACTCTCTTCTGTCCCCACACGCAGCAGGCCAAATGCTCCATCCGGGGACAGATGGTGGCCCGTCTC